CAGACTGTCTCATTAAAGGCATTATCTAATGAAAATTTTAATTATTTGCCTACCTTGGGTCATCATTGGCGCGCATAGCTACAGCTGCAACCTCAAATATTCCTATGAAGAAGCATAACATTAATGGACCAAAGATGGCGCCCTGCCAACCAATCCAATACATGCCGCCCGCAATAGCCAAACCAGTCAAATAAGGATGTCCACCGCTAATTAAGTATATGTATGGCAAACAAATTAAATTAATCCCTTGTTCTTAATCGAAGCATACATCTACAAACTAACCCCTTCATTTCTGCATAGATGGCTGCCTCAAAATACGGTGGCACGAAGAATTGCAATAAAAATAGCACGATTCCAGCATAGAAGCGATCTTGAGCCAGCCATAACTCCAACAAGGCAGGCAATGAACACCAGTAGCTGCCCAAAAATGGTGCAGCAGACAAAATCGCTGCCAGCGCCGATGGTAGAAAGACAATGCGAGCGCCAAACACTGTATGTACCAGCCAAGTGAAGAGGCCCGTAAAAATTGAACACTTAAACATGGAAATTAACACACTCGAAATGGAGTTCTCTAAAGCATCGGCAATTTTAGAGCCGGATGTCGAGAATCCCAAATATTTCGTAATTTGCAGTGGCGCATATTTTGTATTGCTGCTTGAAAGCAAATAGAAAAGCGCTGTGAAGAAGACGATCTACGATTAAATACGAAAGAAGAAAAATATGAAAAATACATAGTTAATATACATATGTACAAATAGGATATGCCAAATAGCACCTACCATATCGAGAATGAATTCAACACATGCTTGCCCGCCAGACAATACCAAAGATAAGATTTCACCAGTAAACGTCATGATCATCGAGAGATTTGTACGAATGATGTGCCACAGCGACTCAGCTACTTCCAATATCGTTTGTGTATTGCTCTTTGCCCAGCCGATAATGCCCTGTTTAGCCACTAAAACTAGCTCTTTAAAATGTCCTTTATTAAAAACACATTGCAATTGGTTAGCTTTTGAAACATGCAGTGAGCCATGAGAAAGTACAAGGAGGGGGCAACGAACCAAAACTAGGGAATTCTCATTTACATTTTTATACATATTATGTATGTATGTATGTGTCAAAAGTGAATTCGCGTGATTTGTAGACAATTAGCAGGAGAATTCAAAGGCATCATTTTTGTGGCAGTACCACTAAGCCCTGCTTGGTTCAGCTAGTCTATCAATCGTTGTCGTCAAGCCGTCAAAGATTGTTCAAAAAAGAAAAGGGTGTTAGCTGAGTGGTTTGAGGGAGCAAGGCGGTTGAGGTTATGTGAAGACGCCGGCCTTTTATTTAATATGGGGGTAGATTTGATATGTGTGGTTGGGAAGAGTTGGTACAGGTGGTACCCGCTGAATGTCGTTTATTGTATGTTTGTATAATGTCGGCTGAAGTTGTTGTGGTATGTATGTATTTGTTAAATACTATGCCTTGACACACAACCGAAGGGAAGATCGCATGGAGCAAATGCTAGCGCCCGCCGCGCAAGTAAGTTTCTGTTCTGGAGTTGGAGTCAATACCAGCCCGAAATAGAAGTATGCGAAACAACCTTGCTGCAAGTTCTTGCTACAGTGACGAACAACGACTGGTAGGGTTCGCCGATTTAGACAGGGTTAACTTTATGCTCTGGGTTTTTGCATAAATGTCCGATATTGTATTCGTATAATTGCTTTAAGCGTTTATTTACTTACTTAAGGCTTAGCCAGAAATCCAATTTTATGCAGGTATGTCATCCAAACTAATCTAGTGGATTTAGTATTCAAATTTATTAGTAAGTTGTTTGGGTAATTTCCTGTATTTGTAAAGAGGATTGTGTAGACCAGCCAAAAATATATGTCTTGGGCAAGTCCTAAGAAAAAAAACGTGTACAGCACTGAAAATTTAATTTCTTGCAGATATTTTAACCAAATCAAACCCTTTCATGATATAGGTGTGGCTTAAGAATTAGGATTTTCAAACACTTGGTGAGTGTGAGTACAGGCTTTCTCTTAAATTTAAGGTTTAATATTAATTTTACGAGATAAATGAGATACTTTCGTTATAAAAAGTGCATAGTATTACGCTATTCAATAGAATCCAACACCAATAGCATTATTTTCGAAGAGCCGTATTCTAAAAACATTCTATCCTATGCAGTGACACCTGGTATACCTTGGTCAAGACCCATTTTGCAGACATTTGCACATTACATGATTTTGTTAATAATGAGTATGTTGAAATAAATATGTATGTACAAATGTATGCACATAACTGTACATACAGATGTATGTACATATCTACATCTATAGGCGTTAGTTTTGCAATGTGTAAAAAAATATTTGTATGGAAAAAATTGCTTTTGTTTTTGTGTTTGGGTTAAAAAAGGATTAGGTAAACAATCACAAATAACAGCACTTGTATGCGGATTTGATGCTTACCAGGATTATCAACAATTTCACCGAATGTCGTCTTAAGCGCATCAGTTGGCACACGTGGTCCATAGGAGGAATCGGATTTGTTTACATCAATCCAGTACTGTATCAAACGATCCCAAACATCTAATATTTGCTCCTTTAATTTTGTCGCATGCACTGAATCTGCTTCAGCAAGCCAGTCATCGATATATGTTTCGATTTTGCGGCGTCCGTAATGATGCGCATTATCCAACGCATCATCTAGAGAAGACTGTATATTCTCAGGCAGTATGTCGACCAATTCGGGACGGTCAGTAATTGTTTTATTTATCAAATCCTTGCCTAAGTAAGCAACCTCAATCGTTTCCGAATAGATATTCACACAGAAAAATACACTTAAAAATACAATGAGCAAAAGCATCAGAATAATCATCAGTATGGAAGTGACTAAATCGACGGAGGACTTCAATGAATCACGTATTATAGCGTTTATTTTATAATTCAATTCAAGCACACCCGGCAAACAAAGTGGCAATACGGCAGAGTGATGTTCTATAGCCCAAGACTGAAAAGTAGGAGGTAAAAACAATACGATTAATATATTTTTATAACAAAAATTTTGTATAAAACATGTAATAATAACTTTACTTTCTATTTGAAAGATTTAGTTAGAGGCATATTCATACCTTAAGGTTTTCATAGACTTCATTGAATTTATTTGAAATGAACGCCGTAAAGCCCGTTATATTGCAAAAGGTGTATAATAAATGCAGTGATATGGGTATAGCGGCCAATATGAACATCCATATGTTGCGATACAAAAATGTTGCTATGCAGGCGTAAAATAAACATTTAAAATATAAATCACTCAAATGTGGGCAATCTTTCTCGCCTTCTAGCTCTGAAGTATCTAGGGAATCTATCGTCTCGGTCAACGAGACATCTTCGGTATCAGAATGTAGACTTTGCTTTTTGATGCTAATGTTTCTTACTGACTTTTCAAAATCAGTCTTGTCCAATAACTTTTTTAGTTTATCTATATAACTACTGGAACCTTCAGCAGTGCGCATATGATAAATTATAGATGCACCTACATACAACATTATCAAAATAAAAGCTGGTACTTGCAGTGCGCCTAAAAAGCTGCAACCATAACTAACTATTGCCATCCAAAGTGATTGGCCAGCCATGACGAACTTGGTGCTATTTTCGGGCTTCCATAAAAAATACACAGACGTTAAGTAGATTGCAATTATTGCAAATAGCTGTAGAAAAAAAAAGTACAATTTATCACACACTTATTTTTACATATTTAGCTTACATATGTATAGTCAACCCCAAACATACTCACCATGTAAATATTTAGAAAGCCAATTAATTGTACAAAAGTGCTATGCGAAAAAACCACGAAACGCCAAACCGCACACAGAAATCCCTTAGGCGCATAGAGCATTAACAGTTTGAAGCACGCAGCCGCGCCGACGCCTGCTGTCAATAGCTGCCAATGTTCTCGCAACCAGCTCACTACCAAACTTCCACAATATTCACTGGCTTCAAGCGGTGCTAAACAAATCGATACCATAACATTTGAATCGCGCTCTTCCAGGCGCTCGAACCAGCCATTCAGCAGTTGTGCCAAATGCCTTTTGAAAGGGAAGAGGACTGCGCCCATAAGAAAAGCCCAGAGTAGGGGACGTACAAATGGGCCTAAAATAAAGCAGACGGCAACAAACGCAGCAACGCCAGCTGCTATGAGAAAGTTATACATCGCTGCCTTGAACGTTTCATGGTTCTGTGACCGCATACGCATCAACTTATTGAGAACGCTGTCGAAGGAGCGATCCCGACGAATGGAGTCGGACCGATTCATTTTTAATGCTTGATTCCCTCCCGTACGCGTCTATAAATAAAAATTAAATTAAAAAAATGTATTTGTTAGTCATTAGTTTTACGACACGTGGCCATTTGAGAGCATCCAATGTGTTTCAGCAACAAAACAACATTGCAGCATAATTAAAAATCAGTAGATAAAGTCGGCTAAAAATAACAATCTCAAAGCCATTGGTGTGTGGCTGCTACAATAGCGATGACGTATGCCACTTGTGGCCACACCTATTACCTAAAATAGGCTAGTTATTAGCTTGTGTTTGTGCTAAATTTTAAATTTTATACTTCTCAATGCTGCTAACCATGTTTTGAACGCAGAAATTAGTTTTCAATGAAGTTTTCTTATCAAGATTGCATCCGCCGATGACGTCATTCCAATTTATTAGCATTAAAAAGTTTTAAGCCAATTGATCATAAGGAACACTGAACTCTTTTACCTAAAATTTACGGTTTTCGTAATACTCACAATGATTTAAATGTTTTCCAAAGTATCCGACTTCTTTTCCAGTTCGCTTGCTAATTAAAGCATAATTTTTCTCACTTGCAAATCGTGTTAGTCAATAATCAATTTGTTTTGGACCATTATTTATTTTGTTTTGATTATTTAGCTTCCAGTTTCTTTAATCACAATCAGTGTTGCCGCCATTCCTTTTGTCGTTGGTCTTTAGGTGTGGAAAACATCCGATTTCATGATCTACAACCAAGGCGAATCAAGGTGGTATTACCAGAGAACTTAGATAGATAGAGAAGGTGCAAATTTTTGGAACGTAAAATTGTTTGGCTGAAAAATAAATCCATGGAATATCCACACAGCGCGATTAACATTTCAACAAGAGTTAACAGAGAAAAAATGTAAATTTGTGTTGTGATAATGTTATATTTGTTGCAAGCGTCTGGCTATGTGTTGCTAGGTTGCATATGAATGCAGAAACGTATTCATGTATATTTTTTTTTATAAAATTAATAAATTAATATAGTTAAATTATATTAAATGTACTTTTATATTAGTTAGAATTGCTGATTTGCATCTCTGCATGACCATTTGTTAAATATAATTTATTCAGTAGTTAATGTTGCTAAAAACTTAAAAAGCATCTGTTCATAGTAAAAATGCATGTTAGTTAAAAAAATGATAAAATTGGTTTTTTTCACATACTCACTTTAAAGATGGACGCATTAACAAAAAAATGTATAAAGCAATGTGTTTGTTAACTTCAAAATTAATTTTCGAAGATATTGGCCAGGCAATGCTTTAACTCCAAAACGTAGATTTGTTATCTAATAAATAGGTGAAAGCTATGCAAATATGCAAACTCATTGGTGATTTGTCGTCGGCATTTGGGTCGCAAAAATGGTTTTTTTTTTTAACGATTCTTATTGTAGTTGCTACGCTATTTTCAATGCAACAAATCCCAGTTTTCTAACTGCCTTAGTTTTTTCACAAACTCACTTTAAAGATGGACGCATTAACAAAAAAATTTACAAAGCAATGCACTTGTTAACTTCAAAGTTGTTTTTGACTTTTACTGCAATACTCGTAGATATTATTTGTAAATAATAGTTCTGGAGTCAAATGCAAATCCATTTCCCAGGCATGCGCATATGGATACTTGTAGTACATACAGATGCGATCAACTAATTAGCAACGAAATTCAAAATGATATTGTTTGCAAATTATGTTTATTATTTATTTTTAATAATTTCCTTTAAAACATAATTCAATCTATAACAGAAACCACAATAATAAAAGTTTAAAAGGTTGCACAATTTGCAAAATAATTAATCAAACTTCAAAAAATTGTTATAAAAATTTAAAAATTTTAGTTAGAATATTTAGAAAATTTTCGGGTATGCAGCTTTGTAGTCCATTCAATCAAGTACACTAAAGTCCAAGTTTCTAGTCGTTAAAAATTACCGTTGATTTCTTAGAATTTTTTTTTTATGGAGGGTGTTCGCATTTTCTTCCATATAACACATGAACCAATTTTTTTTTGTATGAAAAATAAACAGCAACACCCCAACAAAAAAATCTAAAAAATCAACGGTAATTTTTAACAACTTGAAACTTGCACTTTCTTATAATATAGTTGAATGGACTACAATACTGCATTCCCGAAAATATATTAAATATTCAAATAAAAAATTTGGATGACCATTTCTTGAAGGTTGATTCATTTTTTTGCAATTTGTGCAAGCTTTTAAACTTTTATTATTGTGGTTTCTGTTCCAGATTGAATTATATTTTAAAGGAAATTATTAAAAATAAATAAACATAATTTGTTGATGGCAGCTGAATGTATGTATGTATGTACTTACATATGTAAATATGTACCCCATACACATACTCCAAAATCATTTTTTGATAACGTTCTTGCACCTGCACATAATATTACATATATGTAAGTACCTACATACTAACTTTCTTCTTATTTGGGGCTGACAAACTTTAACTTAAGAGTCGACTTTATTTCG